CTGGGAGCGCTGGAGGCGGCCGTGCTGCATGCCGCCTGGCGCGGGGACGTGGCGGCCGAAGCCCTCACCGGTCGGGCGCGGGCGGCGCTGGGGCGGTGGGGTCGGCGGGCGTCGGTGCTGCGGGCGCGGAGGACTGTCCGCGAAGAGCAGGCGAGATGTTTTTTTCTTCACTTCCTTTTTTGTGTGTATGTTGTTCTTCCGAAGGAAAGAAGGAAGAAGCTATTTTGGTCTTCCTTTTTGTGTGTCTGTTGTTCTTCCGCGGGAAATGAAGAAGAAGCTATGCACTCGTTTTTCGTCCTTCCTTTTTCTTGTGTATGTTGTTCTTCCACAAGAGATAAATAATCTATTTACTCGTTGTTTTATGTGCCTTTTTCAGTGCGCTGTTCTTCAGGAAACGAAGAAGTGAAATGGTTTGTATCCGCCGCAGCCTTCCTCCGGGTGTGTCGTGGTGGAGAGGGCTGATGTTTTGTGTCACGTAGATGTTGGACGGTTTTCCCGGTACGGTAGGGCAGTCAGAAGATTTAATGCCGCTTTGTCTCGCGGTTCGGCTTCTTGAAGCGTTTGTGGTGTTGGCGATCCCATGTGTAGACCCGACCTCCGATCATACGATCATGACAGTTTCGATGCCGGGGCAAGAAGGCTGCTGAGCCCTTCTCAACATGGCCTTTGCGACAGAAACAGATGGGATGGTTGTAAACAACACGGGATATAGAACGTCACAAAACGATCGTTGTATTCGTTTGCACTTCTCTTTTGCCAGGCCTGTGTCCACGCGTCCAGCTTGCTTCCCGGCAAGCTCCGGCGTGCGATCCGCCGCTGGCGGCAGCATTGCGCGAACCGGCAGCAGTTCCGCCGCATCTTGACCGACGTCGCGACGGTCCCGCGACCACCGCCCGCGTTTCCGCGGCGAGGAGCCCCACCGACTTTTCCATGTCGAGCACCACCACCAACGCCGCCGCCGCCACCCCCGGCACCGACAACGGCGGAGGCGTTTGCTACGGCGGGACGCGCCCGGGCAGCCTCGTTCCTGCGGCGGTGGCGCCGGGCGGCCACGCGCCGGAGGCGCACCCGCGCCTCCGCGGGCCTCGCGCGACGGTTTCGAGACCACGTGCTCCTCTTGCGGCATCACGAGCACTGGAAGGCGTTCGTCGCGGGGAAGAGGGCGGCGGCGGAGCTGGAGGCGGCGGCTGCGCGGCTCGGCCGGCGGGCGCGGACGCGACGGGCGCTGCTGGGTTTGTCGAGAGCGGCGGAGGCGTCGGCGGAGGAGAGGGACAGGGTGAGGCCGGTTCTGCGGGAGGCGTTTTCGAAGTGGGACAAGGCTTGCGCGGATGGCCTGAGGAAGAGGGAATGCCGGGAAGAGGAGGCCAGGGAGAGAGACAGGCAAGCGTGCTCTTGGGTTTAGGTCGAGGTAGTGTGGACTTGTCCGATAACTCCAGTGTACAAGAGCGGTTGGCCTTTGACCACAACAGACAACATTCGCTTTGATCGAGACCCCTCTGTCGCCCTTCCCAACCCTTCAACAGCCCCGAAAAATGAACAAGAAAATAGTTGTAGCAGAAAACGAACGGTCGGCGGCATTGAACGATGGCATCCGCGTAGTGAGAGCGTACCTACAGTCCTTCCACGGACGTCTTCCGTGGTCACCCCAATAAACCGGTAAACACCACGAAGCAGCTCAGACAAGACCCGAAGGGAACGCTTTTGTGGATGACATATTCTCTACATGCGAGGTTGCCCCGTCCGGGGGGGGGGGTGCTGTGAACGACCGGTGCTGGCATGGGCGTCCAGTGTTCCTGAAATGAGTTCCCCCTATTCCCACCTCACGCCGTAACACTCCCAATATCATGTCGACGAACACAAAACAAATTCTACACAGGAGAACCAGGCGTCGGGTGCTCAGAGCCTGGTTGTGTCGCACACGAAACTCCGTGGACGCAAGGGGTCAGGTAGTCGAGGGTGAGCGGCACCGCCGGGAGCGGTGTCTGCGAAGAGCGGTGCGGGGCTGGGCGAGAGCGGGGCTCGAGTCGAGACGACGGAGGGGGCAGGCTACGGCTTCGCGCAAGCACGCGGACAGGTGCATTCCGCGTGATGCTTTTTGTGTGTAAGGTTGACTTCAGTTCAGAACTGTTTAATTTCGAAGTGTAACGGTTAATCATGGTGCCCCATGTAGTCCCTCATGTCCGCATAGCCTGTTCACCCAAGTGTTGGGTTTGGGGTAGGCTGTAGCTGCTGCAAGCAGATAGTCATTCGAATCACCTCCTCTTCGTCCCATCGAACGCCCCTATGCGACGCAAGATATGAGGCAGACGCAACTGTTAACGCACGGATCGGACAGGTCAGAGCGACTGTTCCGCTGCGCGTCATCTCCAGCAAAGCCTCTAGTGTTGGCCCAAACAACAACCCGACGTGCGTGAAAACCTGGAAAAATCTCGATGAACTACAATCGATCCACGTGTGATATTTTCCGAGCTGTCTGTCTGATCCGTATGGGACTCGAAATTGTGCGTGCACTCTTTCAGGAGGCGTTTGGCAAGCGGGGTTCGGGTGTGGAGAGTGGCGGCGGCCGGCATGGCATCGCGGCGATCCGCCAAGAGGGTTGCCATGGACAAGGTGAAACACTACAAGAATACCTCGCAGGCTAAAAGAGAACGCTCCGAAGAACTTCTTTTTTTTTTTTGGCGGCGGCGGTTATTTTTGCTTCTGCAGGTTGGTCAGCAGCCTCAGTGTGGGGATGATTATAGCGCAGAGCCTCGCCGTTTTTGGTCGAAGTTCTTATGTCTTTTGCAGGTCATCAACAGCCGCGACATAGGCATTTGTGTAGACGTTAGTGTCCAGCTCCACCGAGCGAGCACCCGTTCATTTGAAAATTGCAGCACCATAGGAACGGCGGGGATGAGCAAGATAGTAAGCATCGCTCCCTGTTGGCCCTTGTGCTGTATGACCCCCGGCCGGAGCAGCAAACACATTTTCCGGTAGGTGACGTACAACAGACTGGCACCCAGAAGAGACGGGACCAACAAACAAAACTTAAACGATGGGACAAGAAAATAATGAGTGACAGAGGAAAGAGAACACCGCTCCCCCGAATCATCGTTCAGGCGGCGAGTTCCCTCGCTAGTAGGACCCTGAGGGCATGGAGAGAGCGGGCGGATCTGCAGGCAGCCCGAAAAGCTGTGTTTCGAGCCAGGTATTGCCGATAAGCTGTGCTTTTTCCGTGGTACCCTGTGTGTTGGGTTGTTTCGAGCTTGGTGTTTCCGATATGCCATGTTGTGTCGTGGTATAATGCTTGTTGGTAGACGGTTGTTTCTTGCCGTTTTGTCACTCTTGGCCCTGCTGATCGACACGGTAGGGGAATAAGCACGGGGATCGCTCGATGGTGACTTTGTTCGGGCTGTTGCGTATTGGATTTCCACACAATGCAGCAACGGCCTCACCTGCGTGGTTGGGTGGAAGAGAACTTTGTAGAGAAAATGTGAGCACTGCACAGCAGGGTTTGGTGTCACATTGCCTGAGCGCACGATCATTGTTCGATCACTTTTTGTTCTCGCGCAACATACGCAGCATCAGTCATGTGTGGCAGAGAGCAGCGAGACAGACATACCACCTTGTACGCTTCGGTAGTGTGTTCCGACACAAAGCTTCTCGATTTCATTTTTTTTGTCAAAACTGAATGAAACAATGCCGGCGTGAACTAGTTTTGAGCATGTGCCTACGTCGTGAGAAGTATAATAGACCAGAAAATAGGTATGCAATGGCATGAATCCTATCGTGTGCACAACACCTGCCGCGAAACTTTTCCCGCTTCATGAACTGGTGGTGTCAGCCTTGTCGTGGGCTCTCTCTACCCCGCGCCTGTTAACGCTCACTGACACACCCCGCCGCGCTGAGACTGACGTGTTTTCATTGGTCAGCCGGCTGGCGCGGTCGATGCTAGTATTGAAGACACCCACCAACCCAAACCTCTGTGCCAACGCGGCAGGATCACATCCGCTACGACAATCGTCGCCGCGGGAAGGTTGCGGCGCTCTTTCGCCCGCTGGCAAGAGTTTCACGGGTCGTCCCAGGTCGCCACGGTTACCCGTCTCCGCGCGGAAGGGCACGCCCGCCGGAAAGTTCTGGGAAAGTTCTGGGCGGCCTGGGTGGCGGTTCGAGAGTTGCAGGTGCGGCCTGGCGTAGCAGTGGTTTCGTGTACAGGTGAACGAAGTAAGCGGTGTCACGCAAGAAGCGAAGCAGGGAGCCGGTATGGTGATCAACAGAGCATGTTGTCAAATGTGTTGAGAGAATGTGGTCGTTTTTGGTCCTAAAAAAAATGAATATTGACATGACTGTTGCGTGTACGAACAAATTATTCTTTTTACCGATGGTCCAATTCTTGTTGGCGTGATTTTGTTTTCCTAGTCTTTCCCGCGACCTTTTCGAACTACATACATATCCATACGGTAGGGTTGATGTCCAACATGATGCACGGTCCATGTGTATTGATGCACGTGGTTTTCCTCCATGCTGACGCCACCAGCTTCCGCATTGCCACCATCGCGCTGATCGTCGGCAATGTTCATCCGCTCATTTTTTTCCCCTCACATACCCAGGGTCAGATTGTTTGTGAATGTGTGTCTTTGTTTGTATCGTGCTCCGGTTTCTCCCTTTTCCCGGATCCTGTCTGCTGTACAACCCAACTCGAGCTGCTACTGCCGTAAACGGTTTTTCAGAAGCGACGAACGGCGTTTCGGGCCAAGGTTATGGCCCGGCGACAGCATTCACTGCAACGGAAGGCGTTTTTTTCCCTTGTGTCAGGTGCTGTAACACTTCCACCTACACAGCGGTAGCATCTCTCTGCCTCTTTTATTTTTCATGCTCAGGAGAACACGTTGGCGTGCATCTCTCAGGTAGCTGACGTACGGTAGTTGACGTAGCGCCAGCGAACGGTTTCTGTTTCGGGGACACAATTGTTCGCGGTCGGTTGTGTGGTGAAGCGTAGGAGGTACAACTCCAAGTGGTCACCTTGCTGTTGCCCAGGATTGACGGTTTCCCGGCGAAACTTGACATGCCCCGCCTAGTGTGATGGGCAGGGCTTCATTGTCTGTGGTGTCCAACATCAAATGGATGGGTCTCTACTGTGCGTGGTGTTCCAACATGAAGCATATATCCGTTGGGCGCGCGGGAAGGTTTCCATTTTCGCTTGATGCCCTGTTTGCTTTGAGATATTGGCGTCGTCGCCCAAGAACCCCGGAAGCTTCGCATGGAGCAACAGCTTACGTACATATAGTGCATGGCATGGAAGAGTGCCTCGCTTGCACAGAAACTCAATGTTGCGCACACCGGCCAGCATCCCCGAAAGCATCGATAGACCTGCTTATTTCACTCTCGGCGGCGCTTGCGTTTTTTTTTTCCCACAGTCGCCGAAGCGGGGCGCAGGGAAAGGGAGAAAGTGAGCGCCGCGCTGCTGCTGTGGAAGTTACACACCCAGGGGAAGGCGTTCGCAGCGCTCGCTGCTCACCGGCTGAGAAGGTCTGGTCTCGTGTTCTATCTGGGGCTTTTTCGGTGGGACATGTGGGTTCGAGTTCCCCCGCCTTTTTCGTTGAGGCGTCGTGAGACCCGGTCGTGATGTTCCCGGGGTGGTTGGGATCCCTATAGCAGAAGAGTTCTCGGGCTGACGTATGTTTAATCTGTTTCTCGCCTACCTCATTCCGCCTGCCGAACGGCCCGTCGCTGTGTCAATGAGAGGACGATCTCGCGCGGGACCCCGGTTCCGCGCCTACTTGACGACCGGTGTGTGTGTCTCATCGTCTTCGCCGGTGCCTCTGGCGCTTTGATGCTTTGTGGACGTCGAAGAACTTCCCCTGAGCCCCCTTCCTTGGCCTTGGTGATTGGTCACTCTTTCGATATCCCCTCTGGTGTTGCTGAACAAATGCGTATAATGGTAGCGGTATGTCGCCTCGAACAGGCAAGCGCCTAACCCAAGTCAAAATTGTCAGCCTCTCATGCCCTTGCTGCTTCATGAGCTGAACCGTATGGTCTGTATTTTTGCAATCCCTCCGATCCCTCCACCCTCGCCCTCCCTCCCTGCCGCTTCCGATTGCACTGTTCAGGCGCTGGAAGCAAGACAGGGCTCGACGCGCGGTGGGGTGGAGACGAGAGCGCCTAATCAAAGACGGGGCTCTCAGGTATTCGTGCTTTGCCGTGTCGCCGTTGCTTTGATCGTTCTTCGTATTCGGGGTGCCATGTGACGCTAGTGTTGTCAACCAAAATGCGGGATGCCAGCGGTGAGCGATTCGCATATCGTCGATAGTGCGACCCCGCACCAGAGTTCTTCGGCTTTGGGCCGTGGGACCGTGGGGGCGTGCGGAAAATCGCGAGGCGATGTCATAGGTACTAGCAAAGAGGGTGGACAAGAGTATCGAAATTGCCGTCGGGCCATCGATGGTGTTGCACAAGCAGCGACGGTGCTGTTGGCATGTCCGTGGCCCCCTCGAGCCGTCCCACCGGAGGGCAGCATTGCATTACTCCCCGTCAAAACGTTCAGTGATCGCCCTTTGCCAGCTGTCAATGCTGTACCATTCAACACCACTACCCTCGCGGAGCTGGATGTACCGGCTGTCTACGCGGTTCTACCATCTGTGCAACGGTATTTTCTTGTCGGATGGATCAGGACCGTCGTAGGCACGCTTCGGCGCTCAGAATAGTTCCTGCCAGCAGACATCGTGCTCGGTTCTCGACGGTGGACTCGTGGTTATCATCGACAACAAACACACATTTCGAGCAAAATATGCACGCAGTCGACCCACGCTAATAGCGTCGTGTGACGCCTTGTTTCCCTCGCGAGAGTGACCTCAACACCTTTGACAGTAGTATTGCAAAACACCCCATCGCCACCACGACCGCGTTTTCACACACGCAAGACACACACATGCAACACGTTTATGTCCTCTAATCCGAACAGCAGCTTAGTCTCCCCATGCGGGGTCCCAGCTCATGGTCTTTCGACGCATTTTCTGTGATCAGTCGCAGTGAGACTGGCGTCTCTTCATTGGCCAACCGATTGACGAGGTCGGTGTTAATATTCAAACACACATATATAAACACATATACACACACATGTACCTTTTTCCTTTTTTCTCTTTCCACTCGTCGATGCTATCATAGTATTAAGGGACCCGTTTACATGTGTATCTTTTCCCGTCTTTCCGCTTGTCGATGCGTAGTTAGCAATAATGGCACAAATGTGTAACCATAGCGTATGTTAAAGGCAATAGTCGACGTAATCCTCCCATTTTACTTATATCTTGCTCGTCACCAACAGCATGTGTAACAGAACCAGCCCCAAGAAAATGAACAGCCTTAAAAAAAGCATGATTTGCTAAATGAAACACAGCTACTGAGTAATTTGATAAACCACAAGCGAATATCATATAGCCTAACCGACTACAAGTAGAATAAGCGAGTACCTTTTTCCCGCCTTTCCTCTCGTCGATGCTATGAAAGTATCAAGAGACGTGTGAACCTTTTCCCTGTCTTTCCGCTCGTCGATTCTATCACAGTATTAAAGACACGTTCACATGTGTGCCTGTTCCCCGTCTCTATCGCCCTTCTTCTAGGTGGGCCGCTACCGCCGATGCCCTCTCCGCGAGCCGGATATCCTCGACCGCCTTTCGGGAAGGGAACAGGGCCGCTCGCCGCTGGGAAGCGGCCGGCCGGTGCGCGCGGCACTGGCGGCGCGTCGCCGCCGCCCGTGGGATGCAGCGGCGAGCCCGGGATCAGTTTCCTCGAACGAGCGTTGCTCCGATGCCCGGGTTTCCTGGAGATGTTCCAGGCGATGTCGCTAGGGGGTGCGTCGCGGTTAGGGATGGTGAAATTATCGCCGAGTCGGGGGGAGTTCGGTTCCCGCGTGGGGGAGGCGGTAGCCGAGCGCGTCGGCCGGACGTAGCCACTGCCACAGGTGAGATGAGCGGCAGCGGCAGCACGGCAGGAGGTTCCGGGAAGGAAAACGTTGGCGAGGACGGTAGCTCACGCGGCACCGCGGCCGCCGCCCCTGCCCCGGCCAGGGGGGCGTTTCCCTTCTCCACGAACCGGAGAAATGGGGGCGTCGCCCAGCCGGCCGGAACCGTCAATAGTATCGCCGCAGAAAATCAGCCCGGACCAGGGTACAGGAGCGGCAACGGTGGCTCCCCGGCGACCAAGGCGTTCTCGGCCGGCGCCGCCCCGTGGCGGTCCGCGCGTGCTGGCTCCTCGTACGGACGGTGGGCGTCGGCGTCCGCTCCGGCCCGTCGACATGCAGGTAGGACAAGCAGTCTACGCATGGCGGCGGGAGTCGGGGTCGACGAGGAGAACGTGCGTCTTAGCAGCGGAGGGCCGGTGGAAGAGGGAGGAGCGGCGGCGCCGGGGGAAGAGTTTACTCCCGTGTCTGGCGGGCCAGCGCGAGAGGAGAAAGGGAGGTTGTCGCCCTTGTCTGTTCGGGGATTGTCCGGACAGGGCGAAGAGGAGGAAGAGGAAAACGAGCACCGCACGTCGCCGCCACCCATGACCGTCGGGAACCTCACTCAGGCGGCGTGTCCTCTCCCCGCCGCCGCCTCAGAACCCCCATGGGGTAGAACACAGCCGGGTAGTGGTGTCGACGCCGGCGTTGATGGAGGCAGTCCAGGTGGCGGTGGGGATTTTGGTGGGGGGGGGGGTGCTGGACGACGGCGGCCTGCTCCGCGACGCCCCCTGGAGCTCCTGCTTGATGAGACCTCCCGCTTCGCCGCAACCGCCAGCGAAAACCGGGGTCAGCGCGGCGGGGGAGTAGCCCCACCGCTGTCGACATGGGTAGTGGACGAGATGAACCGCCTGTTTGGCGCGGGCGGTAGCGTCAACAACGGCCTCGCGGTTGCTGGAGGAGGTTCCAGTGCCGTCGTCGATGGCGACCGAGGCCGTCGAGAACGGGCGGCGATGTTCCGGAGCGCAGGGCATGTAGACTGCGGGCAATCCGGACAAGTCGCGTGTCTCCCAGGCAGGGATGGAGGCGGTCGGTCCAAAGACAGTGACGGTCAGCTATTCGCCCCTATAAAGTCGACGTTTTGGGGATCAGGCAGGGGAGAGATGGCGTCTGCGTCTGGACCAGGGTCGGCGCCCTTTAGAAGGGCGGCTTCTCCGTCTGTTGGGCAGTGGGAGAGGCGTGCAGGTACCAGAGGCAACCAGCAACAAGGAGGCTTGCTCCAGCATCCGACGGAGGTATCGTCCCTTCCAGCAACCGCACGACCACCGCAACCACCCCCGTCCCAAGAGGACACGACCTCTACGTCGGGAGGAGGGGTCAGAGGCGTCTATGGCGCACCCACCGCCGCCAGCTGTACATGCCAGTGCAACAGTCCTGCGCCTCCCTCATGTGCACGACCCACTACACCGCAGTTCGATGGCGAGATGATGCCTCTACCCGTGGATGTTGGGTCGCCACTTGCAGCAGCTCCTGCCCTGCCAGCCGGGGAAGCAGGAGCCGGTGGTGCCTTCGAAGGTGATTCTTCTCCTTCTTTTTCTGAGGAAGCGGCGAGAACGGCGGCGGCGGCTGGAGCAGCGCGGACTGGCGGTTCGGGTGTCCGGAACGGGCGAGAGGTGGAAAACACCCGGATCGTTGTGGACGATTCTAATGCCGCCGCCGCCGCCGCCGCCGCCGCCGCCGCCGCCGCCGCCATCTCCGCCCCCCAAGCGACCGAGGCCTCTCCTTCTTCACCTGAGTCGATCGCAGATTCCACGGTGGCCAGTAGCTCGGCTGCTCAACAGCAATGGCCGACTTCGGTCCTTAGTTTTGACGGGGCAGCAACCGCCTACGAGACAGAGGAGGCAGACCTTGAGGTGAAGCGCACGGTTTTCGCCCTGCAGAGGGTGCATCGGTGTGGCTGCTCGGCTTGCGCACTGCATGTGCATGATGTCGTTTCGAAAGTTGGGGTTGGATGCCGTTTTAGGCGATCGCGCGGTGTTGCAAAAATATTTTACGTTGCGCGTGCAACTTGATTTTTCGGCTGTTGCGTCCAGTCTCGTTCTGGCAGTTGAGGGCCTTCTGTCGGGAAGGGGTTTACGATAGGTCAGGATTTTTCGCATTGTGAACGGATCCGCCGGAACCGCTAAGGGTGCGAGGAAATTGTTGGATACAATGCGAAAAGGAGCCGTGTATTGTACGTTCCGTGCAAAATGAGTTGTACACCCTCAACAACGTTTTCCGTGTCTCGGCAGGTTGGACTGACCCATTCTTCCTAAGGCGAATGGTGTTCGAAGAACACGCGTGAGATATTTCGCCAAATCTTGTCTTCCATCATCGGGCAAGCTTCTGCAGGATGGGAACAATGTGTACCTCTAACCCTTCCCCCCGTCCTTCGAACTCTTTTTTTCGCAGGCAAGAGTAGCCAAGGCCGAGCGGCGCTTGCGAGCCTTGCAGGAACGCGCGCGCCAGCGGCATAGAGACAAGCGCGAGCTGGCGGCGCTGCACCAAGCACTCGCCGAGCAAGAAGCAAGAACCACTCACGATGGGGTTGGCAGCCGCGGCAATGATGGTGGTGAAATGGGGGGTGGTATCGACTGTCCTGTCGATGGAAATCGAAAGCCATCGAAAGCCTTGCTTTCCTCAGCGGCCGATAACCGCGGCAACAACAACGCCGTCGGACAAGGCGACTTCCCGTCGACGATATCGAACAGTAGTCATTCTGCGGTGGAACCTGGCAACGAGGAAGGGCCAACACCGGCCTCAATCGGCGCACCACATAGTTTGGATGTCACCACCCCTGCTCAAACCGCGCTGCTGTCGCTGGACGGTAATAGTAGCGAGCACGAAACCGCCACGGATACCTCGTCGCGCCGAGCGCTGCTGGTGAGGATGGGCATGATAAGAGCTCGGTTGGATTCTGGGGGAAAGGTACGCGCGGAGGGCGGTTGGCTGCGGCCGGTGGCGGAGAGCTTGCGGCGCGAGGTGGAGGAATTGGCCAAAAGCGGAGCGGCGGGAAGGAGCAGGAGTGGGAGTGGCGGGCCGTGAGGCACGCGTTGTGCAACAAAAGACTCATTATTACCTCAATGTCGTACCCTGTTTACACCCTTGCTCATGTGGGCGCGATTCGCGTGATGGTTAGCCGATGTGCTTGGACATTTCTTGCCAAGCTGAGGATCGCCAAGGCCAGACACGGCAGGAAGTTACACATTGCAACGTGTCTACCACAGTGGCATAGTGCTTGCTTTGGACTACGAGTATGTAGAAAGGAAGAGACGAACCGACGCATTCAAGAGTTCGACATGAAGAAGTGGCACGGTTGTTGCTCGTGGGAGCACCGTCGACCGTTGCGGTCACACCACAGATCTGCGATGATCAACGCGGTAATTCTTGCTAGCCAAAAGAGAGTGTTACCTTTATTTGTGCCTTAGTCTATCTGTTGTTCCTGCCGCGTGAGACATTCACATCAGCAGCACCTGATGGGGCATCACAACGTCGGTTCCAACGTGCCGCTCTCCGAAACTAACTTCCGAATATCTTGCGTCAGTCTCTCGAAACAACACAAGCCCTCTAAACTTCAGTGTTGGACACTCTTCAACCGACAGCGTCGGACCCACGAAGTGTGCGTCCGGTACAGTACTTGCCATGGCGGATGTGTCAGCTTTTTGTATTCAACCACCGGTTTCTCGAGCGTTTCAAAATCGCTTGAGACGGAAAAATCACGAGATGAAACCAACCGGAGAACATGGGCGCGGTGGGGATCGCAGTACTTCCTCTTCAAAAAAACAGGAAACGCCTGGAAACGCCTGCATATCTCGGTTTTCCAAAGTCTAACTCCAGTACGAAACTACCATCGTAAATTAACCGCCCGCAGCGGTCGCTTGCGTGCAATGTTAGTAGCTGAGGTTGTACCCCTTGCGATACACTACAGACTAGCGGTCCGCGATTTTCCAAACGATCCTTCTATCATCGAGTTCGGTGAGCTACAAGCTAGATTTTTGAAGCTGCTGTGCGGTCCAATTTTGAAACGCTTCAAGCACACAGTGAACACCAATCACCGCCTATGTGAGTGTATGGGGCCGCGAACTTCAGCGCAGCTCTTCCCTCACATATCCAGCTGGTCACCATTGTCGATTTGAATGCCGAGGGTCATGCATATGCATGTCCAGCCTTTAGGCAAAGGTGCTTGAAGCGTTTCAAGATTGGACCGCACAGCAGCTTCAAAAATCTAGCTTGTAGCTCACCGAACTCGATGATAGAAGGATCGTTTGGAAAATCGCGGACCACTAGTCTGTAGTGTATCGCAAGGGGTACAACCTCAGCTACTAACATTGTACACAAGCGACCGCTGCGGGCGGTTAATTTACGATGGTAGTTTCGTACTGGAGTTAGACTTTGGAAAACCGAGATATGCAGGCGTTTCCTGGATTTTTCAGAGGAGGTAATTAATGCGATCCCCACCGGGCACACGCGTAACAACAGCGGTATTTCTGATCCGAACGTGAGACAAAGCCGCGGTGGCGTCTTAGGTATAACTAGCAGAGTGTAGTGAAAAGGCTGACTAAAATTGACATGAAACGACGTCCATTGTTTTTCGAACCCCCCATTTTTTTTACTTGTCTTCGCTGCATATATATACCCCAACCAAGTACAATAATAAGTACAACAAACAAGTAAGTACGTATTCGCTTCCTTTGCTCGAAGGAGCGTTTTCTTCGATTTCACTGTCGTGGTCGTTCGTGATTGTTAGTCGATTCGATTATAAACGTCGGAGCAGTCAGTCTCGTAGTCCGACCCTGAATGTGTGTTCGAAAACAGACGTGCAATATGCCGACAGCGTGACATCGGCCGAGGGCTCCGGGCATAAGATTGGACACATTGATTGATCCAAGACTATACTACTAGTCGTCTGTGTAGCTAACCATCAACGGAGAAATACGATTTGCCTTCGGCCGCCAAACAGCTCCGAACAATCGCGCGCCCACCCGCCGAGAAGTAAACACAACGGGTCGATCGCTGATTGAAGGCTCGACAACCATACACCACGAGACAGACCCCACCAAAGGCTATGACTCTTTATATATAAAGAGTAGAGCCTTTGGACCCCACGGCACAATCAAAGGGACCACACGGACCACGCACCCTTCATACCCTGCTTTTACTAACACGAAGTACCACGAATCCACGTACCCCCCAATCCCGAACTAGGACAAGTGACACTGCACTGCTGTGACTGCCACCGCCAAGCCTCTGGTCTTTGGTGTGACAAGTTTCAGCGAAGACCTACAGGAGAAAAGGACGAGCTAGCTTATTCTTGAGTCGGGACGTGTGCCCACGCCCTCAGTGCCTGCTCCTTCAGCAGAACATCTTGCTATCACCAGAAAAGGCGGATAGCGGATACACTCTTCTCATCCTCGGGAAACAGCGGAAGAGGAACAGCTTTGCTCGAGGTGTGTGGTAATGGTAGACTCATCTCTGATAGAGGACGCTTGAGGGGGTATCGATCCATGTTGGCGCGCTAGGTGTGGGAACGGGTACGTATGTCGGCACACCAAGAGGTAGACAACAGGGGCGTTTCAGGCGGCGTGGATGCTTTGCTCGATGTGTTCGGGTTTTTTTGCTGTCAGGAGTGGCCGCTATTGTACGTTTTAAGAACCTCTCATATCCGTTGGATACCCGCTCTCACCATATTGCTGCTGGAGAATGTCTACAGCAACGGTATGCCCACACGGCGGTCGCTTCTGTCGACCTCCACCCCTCCCCGTGGCGGCTGCTGTTGTTGCTGCTTCGGCACCCCCTTGACCGATCGAACGTGGAACATGACGGAGGTATTTTTTTGGCGCACGTATGTCTCGGGTCGTCTTTTTTTTTTTTGCTTCAGACGGAAATACTGTAGTTGTAGCCGAATGCTCGGCGGAGAGAGCGCATCAGAACGAGTCTCATATTGCAACCTAGCCACGGCATATCCTAGTCAAGGCATATCCAGTGAGAGGAGGTTCTCTTCTCCCCGTAGGTTCAGAGGCTGCTGCTAATTATCAGCCTCTTCGTTCCCATGTAGACACAACACCTATAAATCTGCCGGTGTGTTCGACTTCGCGCTGTTTTTGTTGGAGACATCTTGGTCCGCACACCTGCTGCCTCTCTCGCTGCTGCTGCTGCTGCTGCTGCTGCTGCTGCTGTGATGAGGCAAAGAAGCAAGGGGCTTCCTTCAAAGTTGGTTCGATACCCAAGGCAGTGCGTGAGCATACTGCTTGGGCTTGTCTAGCGATCAAGCACACGGTCGCAAGCCGGCCAGCCAGTACGTACGTAACGCAATGGACGATGGTGGTGATCGAAAAGCGAAAAGGGCCGGAAATCAAAATGGCGGCACAGCAGCATCCATGCTTATGAACCCCGTATTTACACCCATTCTCATCAGCCACTCAACATGCCCGTGGACATGTAACAATAGCCCAAGGGTTTTGTCACGGACAGAAGCTTGACGATGAAGCTTCGTGGCTCATTTGTGCTTGGCAGCGGACCGCGTGGCGCACTACGGTGCATTGTACGCCAGGTCCTGCCGGCCTGTGAGTGAAAATTGCGGGAAGCGAGCGGTCCACACAGCAGACAGGGGCACTTTTCGGTGGAACGGGCAAGATACTGCTGTAGTTTGCGTGCCGCAGCAGCCGCAGCAGCCGATCGTCTGATGGCGGCGTGTGTACTTTTTTTTCCTGCCGCAAGTTTTTTGGTAGTAGATTGCACACCTTCCTTGTCCTAAGAGGTGCTTGGAAGTAGATACGAACGCGAAGGTTTTTTGTACAACACTGCTGTTGCATACCTGCCTCTCTTGCTTCCTTCCACATGGAAACGTTTGTGGATGGATATATCATCTTCCCCAAGACAAGAATCGGAATCAATTTTGTACTTGATTCCAATGGTTGGCTTCCCCTTGGTGCGTACAGTATTGGACGAGTTGGCTCCCACATCCTACACCCCACCAGCGACAAGTACCCGCGCGGAACTTTGCTGGCCCGCAGCACCCGGCCGCTTGCTCTTGCTTCTGATTGCCGGTTCTCTCCTTAGTACAGGGGAAGTCGGTAGACACAGGTATGCATACCAAGTGTACAACGTACCTCTACTTGACCGACAATAACCAACCGCCGTGCTATGGATACGTACGTAACACAACCTACCGTTTTTTCTGTGCAGGCAGACCACTCCACGTCCAAACGCATTGTATCATAGGTGGCACATCATTTTTTTTTGTCCGGCGGGCAGTGTAACACGGGGTTCAACACTACGTGTAGAACGCATGAAAACAGCAACGTAGAGACGCGAAACTAACTGAAACAGCCCTACAGCACTAGAAAAATCAAACACCCCCACCCCGGCGCATCAATCCAACCACCACGATGCTCTGCAACTGTAGGCGTCAGCCGATTGATTGCACTACGAGTCGGCAAACACTCTAATGTCTAACTGCCGTGCCGGTCTAGCGAATGTAGCTGCCAAGAATGCCATTTTCGCCTTGCGGAGAAAGTGCCCGGCGTCACCAATGCCACACGACTCTGCGTATTGTTCTAGAGGACCAAAAAATTCAGTCAGCTCCGCGAACGACGGCGGCGCCTTCTTCCCACCACCCCCCGCACTCTCAGAATCTTCGGTGCTGTCTAGCTCGTCGTCGTCGTCAGAAATGTATTCGTCCTCCTTGAAAGTGTTGTTAACCTTTTCCATGAAAATCTCCTTTGCGTCTTCAGACAGAGTTTCAGCAAACTCGGGTTGCTCCTCCAACCCGGCCCATGCCTCCACGGCCTTGATGGCCTTTTTCGCCGCGGCGCCATCTCCGGCAAGTTCGGATTCGGGCGAGGCACGCTTAGGCTGTTTCGAGGAGCCGTGTGTCTTCTGCTTCTTGGCGATGCACGGGTTGCAGACGCGGTGTATTTCGTGGCCGCCCTCCTCCTCTGGTTCACCACATATCCCATGAAGCCTGCCACCGCAGCCAAGGCGACACTCGTGCCCATCTTTCTCTCCCAGTGGTCGGTTTGGGAGTTTACACAGTTCTTGGTCCGCGCAGACTAGCATGATACGTGTGGCGCCCACTGCTGAGAGTGTGTGTGGGCAGGTGTGGGGTGGCACAGCAGTAGTGGGGGCCCACTAGTTGGAACTGCCACTGTTGGGTGTGTGTGATGCCCGAAATGCCACTATTGAGGGCCCCGTCCTCAATAGTGGCAAAGTGCCACTATATCGGGTTGAGTTTTTGCCAGGAGATTTTCATGCCACTATATCGGGCACTTTACTATTCAGGTTGCCACTATATCGGGCCACCTACTGTACTGATATCTATGGTACGGAAGACGAGCGTTCGTGATTGCTTCGGTCCCGAACCGCAGTACAGTATGATGGTGGTGGGTTTCGGCCACGGGTAGCATATGAACTAATGGTAGTACAAGCGGAAGTATTCCAACAAAACAAGTTATTGTCCCCGACGTGATGTTTCGGGTGCGGAGCAGATAGAAGTGCTCTGCTTCTTGTCGTCAATCACATTGGCAGCACGCTCCCGATACATAGTAATTGTATTTTGGGCTGTATGTAGCATGAGGAGCGAGGAGAAGTTATCTGCCCTTCCATCTAGAGACTTGCCTGTTTCACAGAGGAGTCGTGCAAAACCACCGCCATTTTTTGTTCTTCACTTCAAATCAGCGCTCACAGCACTAGTGCCGTTTACTCCAACCCGTGGTCACACAGAGGGCTCCTCTCTACTTTGGAAGGCCCTATTACACAGTTTCGGGCTGGAGCCTACATTTTCAGGTTTCCAAGTGCAGCTTTCAGAATTGAAGCGGCGTTCCTTGGACCAGTCCTGGATGCCTAAGGTTTCAGATGAGACGGGCTTGAAATGAAGTCACTGCTGTTTGTTGGGGGCTTCGAAGACATCGCCCTAGGTATCTCAATGAAGGCAAACTCTGCGACCGTAATACTATAATACTGTGTGCACCACAACAGTAAGCGTTCGGGTGCCGTATGGACAGCGGCGCGCGTTCGTTCGTCTTTCTTTCCTGATCGTGAGGCGAAGCCGGATGGAGGGGCAAGAGAGACAGCTTGCAACCTGTTGCCTCCGACAAAGCATCCGAACCAGGACCACGAAAGAAGACCCCTCGTCACTTACAGCAGCAGCGTGAAGTTCTGCAAACTCGCGCCACAATCCCTGCGTTCGATCGCGTACGTAATTCATTTGGTGGCGCTCGTGTTGCTCCATGCAGGACAGTGCGTAGCCTTGTGCGCGTTATGGCTGTTTTCCGGACCACAGCAGGATGTGGTGGATCCTCCCCCCTATTACACATTCACATGTGAAGACAACAACAACAACACACACACACACACACACACACACACATCACCCGGCGGGAGTGCTGTGAGCGCTGACTCCAAGTGGTGATTTCAAGTGGTGAAAACAAAGAAACCCGATGGGGTCACAACCCGAACAGGTGCCTTACGTGATGAATTCCGGGTCATTCATGTCGATCCCTCGCAGTACGTACGACAGAGGCGGTTAGTAGTGTTGTCCTGTACAGTACCTCTCAAGTAATACACCACCCGATTGGGCGATTTTACGTGCAGGCTGGGCATGACGTTCTGTTGGTGTGCTTCCAGGCCTTGATTTTCCGAGTGCTTTCGGAGGTAGGCTCGTGGCCATTTCTGAAGGTGTTCCACGGGCCTCGTTGCAATGCCGCTGACTGCTGGACATGTTTGAGGAGTTGGTTTGGGTCGTGTTTTGTCGGCTTTTGCAGCCGATTGTACCATCGCATTATTTGTTTGGGATGTTTCCTACCGTTGCACCCTGCAACACGTTCGATGTTCGTTGCAGCAATGAGTTAGCGGTCTCACGGTGGGCTCGTGTCCTCTCATGAAATAAACTGCGCGTTCCTTTTGCTTTTGAGAGGGGGGGGGGGGACACTAAGCCCTTCTCCGTGCCATGTGACCCTTACCGCGGACCCCTTCACCGCTATCCCTGACGGCGTCGATGATCGCTTTCCCAGCAGCAGCCTGCAAATCTTGCCAAACCCCGATGTTTGCACGAGCGATGGTGGAGAGCGGCGGAGGAGACACGGCGCGTAGGCAGCCGCGGAAGCAGCAGCAGCAGCAGCAGCGACGGCAACAGCAAGGGCAACAACCGGGCCGACCGAGCAGCAACGCCAGGATGAGCAATCCCGCCGCGTGTTCTTCGTCGCTGTCGTCGCGCTCGGTGCTAGCGGCGGTGGCGGCGTTGGTGGTGGCGATGCTCGCGGGCGAGGCCGGCGCGGCGGACGCGGGCCTCCCGAGCGACTATAAGGTGGTGCACACGCATGTGGTGATGCGGCATGGGGAGCGCACGAGGCTGAGAAAGGACACGGAGACGGAGTTCGGCGACAGCGACGGCGTGGCGGTGAGTTTCTTTGAGACCGTTTTTGGAAATGTACCCCACACAGAGTGTAGAGGGGGGAGCGGAGGGCTCCAGACTATCTTCCGTTGTTTTCAATTGGCCTGCGGACTCGTGTCCATTTTATTTGAGAATACCTTTTTAGAGTAAGTTTGCATGTGACCACGGGAATCGACAGATGTTAGCTCAGGTACTGGGTAGAGAGGTTGGAACGGTTTTTGATGTGAAGACAGCAACAAATCAACAACAACAACAACAACAACAACAAGATGCCATCTCAGAAAGACTACCCTTTCGAGATATAACCACCGTCAAGTCTTTACGGCAGTGAGTAGGAGGGAAACCGGCTGGAACTGGGCAATCTTTGTCCCTACTGCTCTTTGAAGAGGAAGAAGGTCGGCACGCTTGTCGTGCCTCTTGTTGTTAGGGCTGTCTTCGTTTACGCTGCTGCATTCCGTTCCCGATGTACGTTTTCGATTGATGTCCTGGTGAGCGACAACATCCACAGTCGTGAGTGATTCCAGGCCGTTTGCTGACATCAGATTTTCTGCTACACTTCTTGAAGTAAGCAGTACCTGGTATGTATGAAGCACCACCACCATTTTTCGTCTCCTACCGTTTGCCGTATTTTGTCAGTTTTTTTTTGCACCTTTCGGTCATTGGAGTGTTTTCAAGAATGTGTGCAAGGTGATGGAAAGTTGTTTTGGTAACAAGCGTGTTGTGCGGCCAGGTGTGGTCGTGTGGTTGTCGTGCAAGAATTCGCCTCCGGTGAAGGAGACTAGGATACGCCTCAAAGAATGATAAACACAAGCATTGTATTCCTGGATGTGGACTCGAGCGAAGAATAGGCTCGTTGTGGACGAAGGTCTCGGCTGCTGCTATGTTGTGCAGCAGCCATGGCGTGGGATATCCTTGTTTTTTATAACCTGGGTGATGAAGTGAAGCTTGGGCGTTTGTGTTCGGACGGGTGCGACACCGATTCGATTCGATCCGATTCACAAACAAACACAACACACCATTGCTTTTGGTGTCGCGGTGGGGTAACGGGTTACCACGATAGATAGCCCGAGACGGCGATGACATCTTACGACCGGTCTTGCGGTCCTCAAACCGCCAATATCAGTACAGCTGGCGCCCGCACTTTTGACCCTCTAGTGTTGGCTGAGGCTGAGGCGGAGGTTCTTACCGTATTCCTGGGGTCATGCTACGAATGGCCGCTATATAGGTTTGAGTGTAAGGGTTCTGAACCGGGCTCACAATGGTGCTAAAGTTCTTAGGCTTCGACGCCCAAATGCTTCTTCAGTGGGGGCGCTAGCGGTAAGTGGTCAGTTGGCGTGAACTTGTTTGTTGCGTTGGGCGTGAAACTGTGTCGTCCTTGGTGCGCCAAGGGCGCCGCGGCACGTTGCGATGTCATGGTAGGAATCCGTGTGTCGTGGTGTCTGACCGATGAATGCCTGGACCTTCCCTTTTTCGCTCGTTCCGCGATCTGATCTGCAGCTCACCAACGTGGGTGAGGAGCAGTGTTACGACCTTGGGAAGCAGCTCCGGGAGAGGTATCTCCCGGCCAGCAACTCTGCGGAGTACACGACGACTATCGAAGGGCTGACGTTGTGGTATGATGCGGACCGAGTGCAGGTGATTCACGATAGATACCACCCCGCTCGGCGTTTGCCATCGGGATTGGGTTTTCGTCGCTTGGCAACGACGTTGTAAAACAAGCCAATTCACTTCGTGAACTCGGCATCCAGGTTACCGTTTTTTTGGTTTTTTCTACCTCGTTTTTTTTTTTTGGGCGGCAACCATAATGGTGGTCGAGTAGATCATGTTGTGCGGGGTGGAGGACCCTCACTCCGCGCAACGGGGGATGATCGCACCACGTTGTGTTAAAATGGTCAAGCACCCTCGAGGCAGTTACACAGTGCTTACAACTGTCTCTGGAAGTGAAAGCACCAGAAAATAAATTAAGTCATACGTAGCTGTCATCCGTACGCAAGGAAGTAAGCACAAGATGCCGAACACCCTTAGCAGGATGCAGCTCACCCTCCATGCGACTCGCCAAATACCTCACGGTGCTTCGCGCTTGGTGATGTGAGAGCCTGGTCCGGTGAGAACCCGGCATGCTCCGTCCCGGCTTTGTAGGGATGCGAGGTCAATGGTCAAACGACTACTGCATGCACGACTATGAGTACACCCCCCCCCCCCCCCTAACCCCCAAAGGGGAATGGTCCCCAAGAAAATCAAACGGGTTTCCTTGGCCATTTTCTCCAGGAGAACGCTATGATCGCAACCATCTGTATTCGGAAAGTGGTCCAGCGTACATGGTACGATCTCAGGAAAAACCAGGGTCGCTGTCGGCGCCCATCCCCGCTAATCGAAATTTGGTCCGGAAATCAGTTGGGGTTCGCGCCTCCTTCAAATCATGGATACAGGGAGCAAAGGGGGCAACCCGTACCGCCAGAAAAAAATCGCTCAACAGCGACCCCCCCCCCCCCAAAAAAAAAAAATCCACTCCCAATGGAACAATGGAGGGCGAAAGGGGATTGGTGCCGCCCCATGGGGAAAACCCCCTTTCACTTTTCGCACACCGCGGTCTCCCCGGGTAACTTGGGCTCCCCCCGTCCGTCGGGGGCCAAGAATGGCATCCCGTCCACCGCCCTCCCCCCCACCTGGGAGAAGAAAAATCAAACCCCTTTG